GATGTTAATGAATGAATGAAAGTGGACTCAAATACCATTACAATATTATTTTATACCACTGTATGGTGTATTTGGAATGCAAGGAACATGATAGTATTTGCAAATGAGCAGATTAATTATATTATAACTTTGTTGCATGCAACTAACCTTGCTTATGCTATGACTAATATATTTAGTCCACCTCAGAGTGGAGTTGAACCTGTGTGTGTTGTGTGACAACCCTTTCAATGGAATTCATTACCTTAAACACAAATGGATCTTTATTTGAAAACCCTAGCCAACAATTTTTGATAGTGTAGTGAGAAACCAATAAGGTAGGTGGCTTTTCAATTTTCCCGATAGTACTGGAATATTTGAAATTTTGCAAGTAAAACTTATGGAATTATATCATCGCCTTAGATTTTGCTTGCAAGCTGAATATAGGAAAGTAATTTGCATGTTAATAAGTCTGTATATTTATGTGTGACTATTATTTTATCAAGTTTTTATAATAATTTTTATTATTATTATACAGATTAGTAGAAGGTCACAACTGGCCCCAAATTAGTTGGAAAATAGAGCTTCTCTATAGTTAGCACATCTAGACTCTAACAGCCAATACGGAAGTGTTTCGACAATATGCACAGTTGTGCTTGCCTATGAGAAGCCCAATTATAAAGCAATTTTAGGATTTTTAAACCCTAATTAAAGAAACCTCAAGGATAATGGCTCATAATCCTATTTTACAATTTACACATCCCGTTTTTTATTGTTTCCATTTCATCCCTTCCACGCTTTTTACACATCTCTTTCACATCCCCAACCTTAGTATTGGCTAGTTGTTCACGACTATTGGAACCTTAAGAGCACGTCACATCAAGAACTATCTTCATCTCTTCTCCATTTGAGATTCTTTTAATTTGCATTTACTTTTTGAGTTCAATAGATTTGTTTAGTTTTATTTTAATTTTCTTTTATATTATGTCTAGCTAAATCTATAGTTAGAACTATGATAAATTATTTGCATGACTTTATGAAATATTTTTTATTAATAATAATTTCACGTTTCTTTTTTTTTATTAGTGTTTACTCTATTGCGATATATTTGTGTGTTTGAAATTGATAACTCTTAAACATATCATAATTAATTATATTGTAGGTGATTATACCACATAATTAATTAATCTATAAGGTAAAACGAGACAAAGAATTAGGTGAATAAAAAAATTATTAAATTAACATTTTATAAGCTCTTTATGCTTTCTCTTTCTTTTACCTTACATGATTATTGAGGGTAATAGCTTAAGGAAAAAACTATTAACATTACATGACCATTGAGTATTAATAGATTTAGTATGAATAATTGACAATCATAGGAAAACTAAAATTAGAATTAATCTAAAAAAGAACATAATGAATTGTAAAGATGAAACCATACACCCTAAGTTTTTCTACATCAGTTTATTGTCAGCATTTGCATTATTTTTTTAATTCTATTTTAATCACTTTTACATTTGAATTCTTGCTTTATTTAATTTCATATCCTTTAAGTTTAAATAATTAAATTAAGAAATTCTTTGTAATTAGAAACAATCCTTGTGAGACGATATTTTGTAAACTTATTTTAGAGCTCTTTTATTACTTTTCAACATGTACACTTACCCATAAACAAGTTTTTGGCTCTGTTGCTGAGAATTATTTTTCCAATATTAAGAAAATCTTGTATTTAATTTATTTGAACAACTCTTGTTTTGCTTTATTCTAATTTCATTTTGTTTATTTTCATTTTTTTACTTTATTTATTCTGTTTTATTTGTTTTTAATTTTATAAAATTTTCTTTAGTGTATGCTCGTTTGTTCTAAGTCTTTTACAGCTTGCTCATTTGATCTAAAAATTAAAAGAACTATACAAAGACAAAGGAAAGAGTTGAAAAAGAAAAAATAGCATAGGGAAAGAAATCAATTAAAGACTACATCACACCTAACTGTGCTTCTGAAAGCATGCGACCTCTAATGTGGAGGCCAACAATTTTAAGTTGAAGTCGACGTTCATTATCATGATTAAAAATTTTACACAATTTAAAGGAAAGCCTAACAAAGATCTCAACCTCCATCTGACAAAATTTCTCTCACTCACACACTATAAAGTACAACTGGATCACTACTGATACTATTAGACTTCACCTTTTTTCATTCTTTGTATTAAAAAGATAGCCATCAAAATGTGTTATTTATCAATTTCTAATATAGAAAATAAACTAAGAATGAGCAACACATAATACATGTAAGAGGTTAGTTAATACTATATAAATAGTTAAATTTACTTATTTTAACTATTAATTTCTAAATAATATTATTTTAATAAATACTTTTAAAATTTAATTGATAGTAAAAATGACAGACTATAGTGTAGAGAATAATTCCTTAGAATTAAAAGATACTAATCTTAATAACACAATTGAATAAGTCTCAAATCTTGTTTGCATTTTTAAGTATATCCTTATAACACACGTCTAATTATAACTAATTATTTTAAGTCAATGACTATAATATTTTATTCCATTCTTTAAAATAAATTTTAATCATATTTTTTTTATATAATAAAATGTACGTAAGTTGAATTTTAGATAATGCTTGTTACGATGTTCTTAAAATTAAAGTGACATTGTATATTGAATATTATGATTTTTTAATATTTAAAAATTAAAAAGTATTTATATTTTTTTAAAGTAAATTAATTATTATATTATCTATTAGTGTATTAAATTAATCGTCATAATGAGTTTAAAAATAAATAATCATAAAATATACCTCATTAATTACCTTAAAATTTACCATTTTAGATATTCACTAAATCAATCCTTAAGTTCGAAAAACAGTTAGAAAAAAACTCTAACTACTTTTAAAAGTTCTCGTATCCATAATAAAATTGAAACCTTTATGCCTTATCCTTGTACAATACGAATTCAAACTTTTAACAATTGAAACAATTACAACTTGATCCTATTTGTAAAACCAGTGATAGAATTTTCCAACGAGTATTATCAGTAAAGCAACTTCCAGGTCACCAAATTCTAATCATCATGGTTAGTCAGCGGCACACTCCATAACATTCCCCTTAGTTAGGCCACAGTACTGCATTGCTGTCCATTTCATTTGTCATTACGTGATCATATGGACAATTTTTCAAAAATATTTATAATATTCATTTCAAATTTTAATTTTATGCATTATTTAGAGAAAGATATTTGTTTAATTTTACTTTCCATCCAATTTAATTTAGATTTGACTCAGTTCACACATTTGGATATGATAAATGAGTTTATTATTGAATATTTTTTATATATATAAAAATTTAAACTCAAAACTTTTCTTAAACGATATTGAGTTGTTTATCACTTAAACCAACTTCTATTAATTAGAAAAAAAACTATTTAGTACTTTATAATTTGGTTTATAGTAATTATGGTTAAAAAATCATATGAATGTAGTTTGTTAAAATTATTCTACCTAAACAAAAACGTTATTCTAAACCATAATTTTAATATAATCTACATATTTTTCAGACTAATTAATAATATATATTTTTTGTGCTCTTGTGATAGTGCAAACTATAATTAATTTACACAATAAATACATATTTTTTTTTAAACTTAACCAGCAACATCTTTACATTCATAAGTTTTTTTAATTAATGTAAAAATGTTAAAAAATTAAATATTTTTATAAATAAATTATTTAAAAGGGAGGGTTTTTTTTTTTTACAAATGGTAAACTATTTTTTTTAAAGTAGTTGTAATTATAGCAATTTTTAAAAATTGTTCAAAGTGATTTATCAAAATAATCATAATTTAAAAAAATTAAGCAAACAAATATTTTTTTAAGTTCTTTCTATAGAATAAAGTGAATTTTAATTTTGAAAATGGTTAAACAAATTGAAAGTTCTATTTTTTTTAAAAGACTTGAGAAAAATATAAATTTTAAAACAAGATAAACTATATATATTTATATTTAATAGTATTTATTGCTCTACACTTTAATATTTATTCGATCATCGGTCTGTCATTACAAACATTCTTCCTTACGTACAAGGAGAATCATGAATATTCTATAAGGACGTTATAGTAAAAGACAAGGACATAAGTTGCAATGAACGAATATATCTTTTGTAGAAACAACATGTAACTTTATTTGTTTAAAATATAAAACCATAACTTTATTTAGTAATTCAAACAAAAAAAATTAATTTATTATAATAAAAAGCTATAAAAGTATGTTAAATAAAAAATTTTAGAATTAGTTTGTTAACAAATAAAAAAAAAATTTAAATTATATTATTTACACTTAATTTTGTTAGTTCAAAATATTTTTATAAATAAATATAATTTTAAACAAGTTGAATATATTTTTAAAATTAAAATAACTGATAACAATTTAATAAATAAAAAATAAAAAATAATTTACTTTTTAAAAATTTATATGTAATATATAATTATACATTTAAATTTGTAATTTTAAAAACACTTTAATTTTTTTAAATAATAATAATATAAATCATTAAAGAGTTTAATATATACCTTAAATTAATTTATCATTTAATTGCACCATTTAAGTTGATGTATATTAATTTATTAAATAAATTATTTAATATCATATGAGTGCTATAGCGTCGTTAAGTTTTAACATATATAGATATATAAATAAATTATTAACTATATACTTGAAAGAAGTATAGATACTATTTAATTTGATTATGTATTAATTTATTAAATACATTCTTAATGGTATATTAATATTTCAGTGTAATTATTTTTACTTATATATGATGATGATGATAGGATGGTGATATGATTGATCAGTTTTGGAATTGCGCAATTATTGCGCATCGTAGTCGAGACTCGAGAGAGAAGAGTCAATATTATACACAGAAAATGGGACTTTTGTGAGTGCAGAGGTTGACAGGGATAGACCCAGTTCCAATTTTAAATAAAAATGCTCATTCATCATTCACAATTGCACTCTCCAATCCACAAAGATGGCCGAGGACGAAACAGCAACTCACAAAACTTTGGAGGTTCAGGATTTCCATCCTCAAAAGAAGACCGCAAGAAACAAGTTTGCTCTCGCTTGTGCCATTTTGGCATCCATGACTTCCATTCTACTTGGTTACGGTCAGTGCAAAAACAAACAAACACTCTTTTCTCTGTTATAATTGTTTTCCAATCGGTTTCAATTTAGCAGTGATTTTATAAATGCAAAATTAACGAACAGCTACGGTATTTGAATTTGTTAACGCTGTGGTGGTGTTCCTTTTTTGGTATAATAAATTGGAATACGATATGACTTACAGATATTGGAGTGATGAGTGGAGCGGCTCTCTATATAAAAAGAGATCTCAAGCTCTCCGACGTGCAAATCGAAATCCTTAACGGCATCATAAACCTCTACTCTCCGATAGGGTCATATATCGCCGGCGGAACCTCCGATTGGATTGGCCGCCGTTACACAATCGTTCTCGCCGGCGTAATCTTCTTCGCCGGAGCCATTCTCATGGGATTTTCCCCCAACTATGCCTTTCTCATGTTTGGCCGCTTCGTCGCCGGCATTGGCATCGGCTTCGCCTTCCTCATTGCTCCGGTCTACACCTCCGAAATTTCCCCAACTTCCTCTCGCGGTTACCTCACTTCCTTTCCAGAGGTAATTTTTCTCTTTATTAACAATTCTCAATATCACTATAATTTTTCAGATTTTTAAAAAAATTTATCAGGTTTTTCTGAATGGAGGGATTTTAATTGGATACATCTCAAACTACGGGTTTTCTAAGCTTCCACTTCGCTTGGGTTGGCGACTCATGCTTGGAGTCGGAGCCATTCCTTCTATATTCCTAGCCGTGGCTGTGTTAGCCATGCCAGAGTCGCCAAGGTGGCTTGTAGCCAAGGGTCGGCTAGGGGAAGCCAAAAAAGTTCTGAACAGAATATCGGATTCGAAGGAAGAGGCTGGGCTAAGGCTAGCCGATATTAAAGAAACGGCTGGAATTCCTCAGGACTGCGACGACGACGTCGTTTCAGTAACGAAGCAGCAAGGCAAAGGCGTGTGGAAAGAACTGCTACTATATCCAACACCCGCAGTTCGTCACATCTTCATTGCGTCCCTTGGGATTCACTTCTTTGCGCAGGCCACGGGCATAGACGCTGTCGTTTTGTATAGCCCAAGAATCTTTGAGAAGGCTGGGATCAAATCCGATACGAACAAGCTTCTGGCAACCGTGGCTGTTGGGTTCGTGAAAACCGTTTCGATTTTAGTAGCGACGTTTTTGTTGGACCGGGTCGGGCGACGTGTGTTGCTGCTAAGCAGTGTTAGTGGGTTGATTTTCTCACTTGTAACCCTTGCGGTGAGTCTCACTATTGTGGACCGTTCACGGACTACGCTAACGTGGGCCATTGGGCTTAGCATTGCATCAGTATTGTCCTACGTGGGCACGTTTTCCATTGGGTCGGGGCCCATCACGTGGGTTTATAGCTCCGAGATTTTCCCGCTAAGGCTGCGCGCTCAAGGTGTGGCTATTGGAGCTGCGGTGAATAGACTCACTAGTGGGGTTATCTCAATGACTTTTCTGTCCCTCTCTAAAGCCATCACCATTGGAGGCGCCTTCTTTCTCTTCGCCGGCATTGCAGTGGCCGCGTGGATCTTTCACTACACACTGCTCCCTGAAACACGAGGCAAAACACTTGAGGAAATTGAAGGTTCGTTCGGTAATTTTCGCAGGAAATCCAACGCCGTCCAAGTTAACGGTAACCGCCAAATTCAGTCAAGGACCAATGACCAGACTTCCACAAATGTCGATTAGGTTAGGATGCAGGAGTTATATGTTGATATTAAGTTATCCAAATTTTTTTTCCAGGAGCCGTTACGATGGATCGTAGATTTCACAGTTAAATGTTTGTTCCTCTTGATAAAAGCATGGTAAGATTAATATAGTAAGGAAATAATTGCAAAAAGATCGTAGATTTCACAGTTTTAAGTTTACAAAATATTGAGCCTTTTCTTTTGTAAATAGTTGAAGTAATTATAAAAAATTTAAACTGTTGAATAAAGAGTCATGAGTAATTCTCCATTTCACGTCTCTATCTGATATGTACAACCTGAGTTGCAATGCCCAATATAAAAACTTTGCACGTCTCCGCAGTAGTAATTTTGAAATAGTAAACAACGTGCTAGCCACGACTGGGAAGTTTTTTATGAAAAGGGGAAAAGTGGTGTTTTGCCTTTTTCTGCTTACTTTTTGATTGTGCAAGTATAATTACAGCGACATGAATTATGAATCATTAACATAGGGATTGAGATAGCGTGTGTTCATTTGTTACTAATTACGTTATGATAACAACTACGATTCAACCAAGTCTAAATTTGAATAAGGTGAATGCTACTAATGTTCGGAAAAGAATAAAGAATATGGTAGCTGTCTCATGCTAAAATTGCTTCAAGAAAGAATAGCTTTAAGGGCATCCTTCACGTAAGAATATTTGAATGGGAAACCCAACTTCATAGATTGCGCAGGAACCACTCTCTGTCCTTCTAAAACCTACAAAGAAAGATTAACAGTGCATTTTAAGGATTTTATCCTAAAAGTTACGTACTAGAGATGATTATTCCTTACCACAGAAGCACCTTCACCAAGAACAGCTTTGAGGGCAAAGTCGGGTACGGGTAGCCATGAGGGACGACCCAAGACATGTCCCAGCTGGTCACATAATTCTGACAATCGTACAGGATTTGGTGCAGTTCCATTGATAACTCCTAATACATTCATTCATAACACATTTCATGATAATGCAACAAGTTCATCAGTCAATAAAACAGAAAATATAACCATAGGATTAGGAAATATATCCATTATGTCACATTGGTGGAGCGTAGACTAAAGAAATAGAAAAAATTACACTTCAATGGTGACTAGAGGTGTTAATGTAATACGTGGAAAATGGATATTCCTATAATAAGTCTATGCTATAATATCCAATGTCCATAAGGTATTCTGTTAATTTTTTTAAGAATTTTGATAAATTTCGTTTTAGAGATAGGAGAGTGAATAATTCACCTTTGTAAGATGGATTTGATAGCGCTTCATATATTAAATTGACAATGTCATCCAAATGAATCCAGGAGAACCTGTATGGAGGAGAAAACAAAGAACAATCATCAATCATGACCCCTACCTAGAAATTAAGACAAACCAAAATCCAACTCATAAAACACTTGCACCATGACACTAGTAGATTGAATTTAATATGAGAAATAACTACGCATTTTATTAGCAACAGTCAAGCTGTAAATAGGGTTGTTTTGCATTTTACAAAACACACCAGGTTGGGGTGGGAAATTGCTTCATGAACTGTGTGTAAGAATGGATTAACAGTACTACAAAGCTATCTCTTACAAGCGCAAGAAACTGAGTGAAATACCACTGTTTTCCAGAGCCTAGAGGTCCACCAGCAAACATCATGAAGAGAGGTATCATTTTAGCTGCAGACTCAAATGTGTAATTATCAGTTAAACCCAGATTACAAAATAGATTTTGTTTCAAGATCCTACTCAAAAGCATAACACTCCATAAAGCCTGATGGTATAAGAAAACGTACCTAGTGCTCCCCCATCTTTACCAAGGACAACACCAATGCGAATTAAAGCCACTCTAACATCTTTATTTACCCTTTGGGCTGTGGATTCCCATTCTCTACAAACCTGAACAGAAGGGGCTGTTTTGGTCAATGCAATCTAGAAGCTAAAACAATACAACGTAAAAACTTTCATCTGTTCGAATAACATTTTATGGGTTATGAAGTTTGAAAAAGTAGCTCCAGCTTTCATAACCACCGCCTTTGTTTAACTTATATATTTTGTAGTAGACACTTTTAAGATTCAGTCTCAAATATCATGACCAAAGAGGAAAATTACAGCGTTTTTAAAGTAGAAATTAGGTGTCCATTCTTGCACTTTAAACAAATTAAGAAATTTTGGCGTATTCAAGTTACTTAAAAACCCAAATCCAAGGTTCAACCGGTTTCAGTTACCTTTTTGACCAGAAAATATCTAAGCCATTGAACTGAATGAACAAAAACATCATTTCCAAAGGAAAATTAGACAAAAAAACTCAGTATATGGTACCTCAATTAACGGTGAATATCCTTTAACACCATCAATTAGGTATACAAACAGAAAGCTAAGAGATTCAATGCCATCTTTTTATGAAAACATGAAAAAAGAAAGATCAATATCCTTATGAAATTTACCAGTAGTGCTCTCAAAATATTCCTTTAGCAAAGCAAGCATAGTTTTCCTATTTTCTCATTAGATTCCGTATCTTATATTTGTTGCAGTAACAGCAAAAAACGTTTTTCTTACCTCAGCCAAGTAATCCTTTCCTGAAGGACTTTCTTCATCAAAGGATTGAGTCTCACTGGTACCTGAACATAATAAAATGGAAGGAAAATGAAAAAATATTTTTTGTATGCAAAAAAATGCATAATTATTAAATAATTATGTAATTATAGAACATGCTCCACAAATAATTACATTTGCCAACCAAAGCATTAGACGAACCAATGGTAATATTAAATAACAAGAAAGAAAATGATAAACCAGTTTTGGCATGCAAACATACCATAATAACCCACAGCTGTTGCACTAACAAAAACTTTAGGTCGACTATCATCTGGTGCACTGTTTATCAATTCTACAACCTTTGCTATGAAATGAATAGGTCAGAGGAAGCATAAGCACTGGTTTATTTAAATAACTGTGGATTATGTTGATGCACATATATTTTTTACCAAGAGAAAATAAAAAAAATATATTACTCGCATTTTTAATCAATGGGAAATGTTATGCTTACCTTTGAGGTCACTCTTATTCTGCTCTGCTTGATTTCCTTCTTTATCTGCAGCATTAAGATGTGTGTAACACATTTGGAGTAATGCATGTGTTAATTCCAACATCATCCAAATGAAAGTGGGAGGAAGAAGATAAAGATAAATAAAAAGACAAAGTATAGTGTATGTATAGACTGTTCAGCAGTTTAAACCTTACACCGGTGTTCAAAAAATTGCCAAATAAACATTCATATATTATCGATCATTTCAGATTTTGGTACATAAAAAATGGTATGTAAATTTGTTATTTCAATAAATTTTCCAAAAATCTAAATGAGGCCAAGGTTTCCAGCGCAGTTTTAACAGAGACAAGACAAAAATATTAAAAGAGAGATACCAAATATCTCTCAATAACCACTAACTAGGTGCAAGTTGAAGTCTAAATCATTTCAATAGTGGAAGTGATAAGAACATGGAAATAACCTCAGAAGACCATCGGGTACTTATGGGCATTCCAGCCAAATTCACGATCCCCGTTGAGCCCTGAATGCTATCTTTCCATTCTGGTTCCTCTGCAATCTTGAGTCCGGGAAAGTCTTTTGCTGGAGATACCAGGGCAAAGTTAACCAATTAATCCAAGGTGTAGTATATGTCTGACAGAGTCTGGTTGTGCAGAAGTTAACCATTTTTCAACCATTATGAGGAAGATAAAACCATAATTTCAAGGCTGGAGCAATCCAAGTATGTATTAATTAAAACCAACAAAATATACATATGAATTGAAAGTACTCTGCTAGTAGTGAAGTGAAGTTGAGGTATCACTTTAATTTCATGAAAAGGTTTGCATTGGCGATTGAGTTTTAGTCGGAATATTTTGGCAAACTGTGACTGTCAGTGCAAATTTATTGCATCAATTATTACCTTCTTACCAGGAAAAATTGTTTCAGCTTTAGATTTAGAGCGCGTCAAGACATGAACACTATGACTGTCTGCAAATATTATTAGTTGAGGACAGAAAGTTAGTTTAATTGTTTAGGCATATTGAAGAAGACACTGAAAATTCAAATGATATAAATAGGCAGGCAAGAGTCTAACAAAATCCAGGGATTCTACAGATTTGTCACATGGGATAGTGATATATGGAAGCAATATACTCCACAAGATGCAAACGTTTATCAGTTGTTTGATGCAGGCTTGAAATTTATATATAGCACATATTTTGCAGCATCAGAGAAAATACAATAAGAACAATACAACCACAATGCACCTTTCATAGTAAAGTTTATCCAAACAAGGATGAAATGTAGATATACAAGAGCGCACTAGGAAAATGCTGAATATCAATGTACCAAAAGAAGGCATATTATATATAAACAAATAAGAACAGACCCATTAAGCTAGAACCAGATATGGGGAATAACCTGCATGCAATCTTTGCACCAACTTTCTACCTATAAAACCTGTTGCTCCAGTTATAGATATGATCATTTTATTTCCCTGCAAAAACACTCTTAAGTGATAATGATCTTGAAGGAACCTAAATAACCAATTAGAAAAGCCAGAAAAGCCAGTTAAACAATATTCTTAATGTGCAAATTGCTGATATAATGGTAAGTAGAAATCATGCTTCCCAGACAAATAGGAACCAAATGTAATGTTGTGAACTTGTAAGTTATTAGCAAAGCTCAACAACGCATATAGAAATCTGTTGTGACTTGTGTTGGGCTGAAAGATAGAAATCTTAAAGCTTGCTCTTAATTAACTCAACCACCAGTGGCATTCCACTAAAATGGAGCCAATGAAATGCCTAATCAATCCCAACCATTATCAGGTTTGATAAAGCAAGGTCAAGAGAAGCCTAACTTGATTACGAGCACACAAAATTAACAACTAGAACAGTCCCATGTTGGATCCCATAGTTACATAAATAAAATCACCCTATATTCAACATAGAAAACCCTAAATCAATAAGGAAAAAACAGTAGGCAAGAGAAGCAAAAATTTTCATCAAGTGGAAGAAAGTTATAACCTTGCTCTTAATACAAAGAGAGAGCAATTACACTATCTCAAGAAATAGAAGAATACACCTCTTCATACAAAATAGGAGAAAAAATGAAAAGGGAAGCCCCTATATATAGAGGAGAACCTCCTATTCTGTGCTGCTCAACCATCCCATTCATAGCTCGTGAACTGCACCGAAAGTATCTCAATGCCTTGAAATAAATTTTCTTTGAATTTTCATGCCACAAAAGTGGCTTTACAAATTACCATGTCTGCCATCCGACTCACATTGATTAATGTATTACACCCCGCAAAAAAGCAAAGATACCGAGTAGAACACCATAACATGGTGCAAGACTCATACACAAAAAAATCCATTTGAAAACACAACATAGATGGGAAGCACCTAGTTTTAGAATATAATACCTCGGGGCCTTGATCAGTGCCACACCAAACTTTGAACCTTCTAGCCTCCTTGGTCTAGTAAAATGGAATGGATAACAAGCCATAGTAAGGGAGCAATGCAAAACTGAGAGAAAATAGAAACGAAAAGGGTGATTGAATTGAAGAAAATGAGCTTACTGAGAGGGGCCGAGGAAGGTGAAGAGAAGGAAAGATGGTGTGAGACCATTTCATAGCTGTAGCTCCACAGATTTCCATCAAGATTTAGCAGAGTTTGGTAATGCAGTGTTGTACTTTTTAGTTAGCAAGGAAAGCCAAGGTGAAGAATCTTACTCCTCAGCAACAAAATGAAGTGTGTGTTAGTGAATTATTCTTGTATGATTTCGTGTCTGATTTGGAGCCACACCAACCACCATTTCCATATCCGTTGGCCCTATCACTTATTTACTTTTCTCGTTTTGAGTTGTAATTGGACCATACTCTATGCAAAGTCTTCTCCAGCAATTTTTTTTTTATACTTTTCAAAAACACAATTTTTAATTATACATATTCAAAACAAATTGATCCAAGCATTCGGGAGAATATATCTTCTACTCGTCAGCTTTCTTCATCTCATTTCCATTCAGTAGTTTCATTATTATTATTAGCCGTCATTACATGTTTTATTTGTAGTTATTGATCATAAAGAGTGATTTAAGAAGGGACTATTCTGAATAAATATAAAAATCAAAATTTAATTCAGTTAAAATCATGAGGACTAAAATTTATCTACGCCAAATTAAATATTACTGCATTGATATTGCAATTCAATTAGTACCGGCTTAGTATGTAAAACACGGATGGCACGATGATCTTAAAATTTCCATCTTTCACTTTACTACCAATTTTTTAGCTGGGTAAAAGCGCTTTTTTCTAAGTATTAGACATACAAATTACAGATACATAGGCTGCATAGTTGCTATTGTATTGTTAATAGTTATTAAGTCAAATACATTTATTGGAGCAGCCATCTGAAGGAGGTTAACCAGGTGGGAATCATAATCCAAAGAAGAATTGATGATGCCGGAGGAGTTGCGATCGAACCAATAGATACCATAAACAAAATGAGAAGTACGTCGCCCAAAGCAAAGAAATGATAGCAATCGTAAATAAGATGATTATCAGGGACAGATAATAGAAGCATACACTATTGCACAAGAAATGGGAGCAAAGGAGCACGTGACCAACGTCAACAGTTCACACCTAGAGATATAATCCTATTGATTTCCTGCACGTGACCTAAGTGCATGATTAAAATAAAATATCCCAACTCGTGGATCAGGTGGCAACACGCAAGGTTATGTAGAAGTGAGCGGTTGAGAAAAGAGGAGGGTGCTCGGAGAATAATGAATGTTTCCGTCGATTCAGTTAGATATCTCAGGATCAAAGCTTCTCTTTTTCATACAAAAGTTCGCCTTTGCATTGAAATTTCTGTTGAGCAAGTTCAATTCATGTTCCCACCTTACTTCAACAATCGTACGATGCAAAATATTAGAATACTCAACATGCCTTTATTGAGAATTTCAATATCGATTCTACGACTATTCAAAACACAAAGCACCGTTTAGTTGCACCAGCATTCAATATTAAAAGACCCATTAATGCAAATAAATTACATTGGCAACCAAATCATTACATGCACTACCAGCAGCTTCATCTGCAGCAGCAGCTACAAAAATAAAATGTAGACTCGGATCATATGGCGCAGTACATTTCATAGGGAAAAAAAGAAGCTTAAAAAGCTTTATTAAGCAAAGAAAGACTACTTATACAAACACCAAAATCACTGGTGCAGCTACTGCTTTCACTTAAGTAGTCGTTAAATCCTGCAACTGGCGTCTGAACACTAACCTCACAACTAAAAATATTACCCCCTCACCCTCAAAATAAGAAGGTTAATACAGATAGGAGGTCAAAGAATATTTCGCACCACGCCTCCTTTCTTAATCAGCTCTAGATTGGCCGGCACGAGATGACAGGATAATACCAACAATGAGACCATACAGGGCAAGCGCTTCAGCAAAGATAAGGATCAGAATCATTCCAACAAAAAGTTTTGGCTGCTGTGCATTGGCTCTGCAGAAAGAGATTAATTATTCAAAGCCAGAAACTTACTAGAAAAGACTGTAAATGGCAAATGCCTGTATCAAATTAACAGCAAAATAAATACATTCCATCAAGGATCATATATTCATTTGATAGAAAGCATAGCATGGAGTAGATATCAGCATGAAATTCTATGGACTTTATAATAAGAGTAAATAAGAAAATAAAGGTCAGCTGAAAACAAGTTTCGAATTTAATCATGGGTCAGAAACTAAGGCAGAATAATTATACCTAACACCAGCATCACCAACAATACCAATTGCCATGCCAGCAGAGAGCCCAGCCAAACCACAAGCAAGACCAGACGAGAGATGTGCATAACCATCAAAGAGGTAATAAGATTTGGCCTTGGGATTAATGCCAGTACTGATAATAACAGCAATAATAAGGCCATAAATACCCAAAACTCCGGCCATAACAACAGGGACAATAGACTTCATCACCAGCTCCGGTCTCATCACACCCATCGATGCCACGCCCACGCCACTCTTTGCTGTGCCATAGGCAGCTCCCATACCTTTCTCCACCAATTCAAATAACTCTTAGTAAGATAACTCTAGAAAGAATGCAGAGCTAACAAAGAAACCCAAAAATTTTCATTTTTTTTTTAGCTAGTCAACAATTCTTCCACCAACCACTTTCAAAACACAAAACAACGTGAAGCAATTGTAATAGACTTATTTTGTCCCCTGATTACCAAAACAACGAAGATTATCACTACGAGAAATGACTGCTACAGAGCCATGAGATTATCTTGCAGTATCTTATTGAATCGAACAAAACAATTTCTCCACAGAAACTACCAAAGCACAACCATAATATACCATTAAATAAATAAAAAGGCAACAAGTTCATTGCTTTTCCAATGTTTTCAAAGGAATAAAATATTTTTTTTCCGTGCAGGGATCAAACATAAAATATATTACTGTACGACTTAGCGTATCGAACATTAAATTTTCATAAAAAGGTTAAATTCAAAAGAGATCATGAAAACACGAACAGAGATCTAATTGAGAAATTGGGGATTGAATTATATTACAGGAGAAAACGAGGGCAGCTGCGGCTCCTAGGAAGCCAAAAAACGGTGCCGTTTCATCGCCGCTGAACGGAGCCATTAGTACTGCAACGACGTTGAATAGATCAGATCTGAGAACTTAGATATCCAATTTCCGATCTCTGTAACCGTACAGGGTGGAGGGGAAGGAACCATTTCCCTTATTTTATGGGTGTTCGTTAATCCCAACTCATCCGGGTAACCCGAACCCGAATTAACCGGCCCAGTCCAATTGTCATTTTTTTTACTGTTAAATTTAATGGGCACATATCATCCACTGTCCAGTTTAAACCCAAACCAAAGTTGGGCTAGGTTTAATCGTGGACATGGGCTTTTCCAACGTAGTGGCCGAAAGTAATTAAAATATAAGAGAACATGATCAGAGTTTTCGCGACACACGAGTAGTTGAGGTCAGAGAAAGAGGAAGAGGAAAAAGAAAACATGGCAATAACACTGAACAATGGCTTCAAGATGCCCATCATTGGATTTGGTGTGTGGCGCATACAAGGAAATGAAATCAGGGACCTAATTATCAATGCCATCAAAGTCGGTTATCGTCATTTTGATTGTGCTGGTATACTAATTTTTTCCAATTTTAGCTGCTTCTTTTTTTCTTGAATTTTAATCTAGTGTTTTGTCTTCTTCCTTTATGAGCAGTTTAGGCTAATAAAAAAATTAGCTGTCCCCTAAAAGGGATGGTTAAAAGTTACTTAATTTGCTAAATAGTCTTATTCACACTATTATTTTATGGTGGCTGACGAGATTTGGATGCGTTGTAGCTGACTACAAGAACGAAGCTGAAGTTGGAGAGGCACTTAAGGAGGCTTTTGATAGTGGCCTTGTGAAGAGGGAGGAACTTTTCATCACTACCAAGGTCAGTTTCGCAATAATTATTTTGTTTACAAGTTTTTACAAAAATAAAAATAAAAATATCCTATATATACTAAGCAGTTATTGAAAATCATAGGATAGGGTAAGATTTAAGGATTGAGCTTATCTAAAGTGAAGGAAGCTGTAAAGTGAAAAATGAAGTTTATCCACTTGAAATATAAATAAAGTGACTTGAAATTATGCGGTGAATAAATTTTTACTTTCTCACTTTACACCTTCCCTCACTTTAGAGGAGGCAAATCCAAGATTTAATGCATCAATAACATTAGATACTATAAAATGCTGAATATAGTAACTAATGAAAATTATAGGATATTGTAAGATCTGATGCATCAATAATGTGTTTATAGTTAACGCCCCTTACCAAAACCGGTGGTTGATTTATGGCTTGTATTGGTAATGATGATGGATCTGAGTTTGATAATTACTGTCTTACCCTTTGCATTTGATTTCAGCTCTGGAATTCGGATCATGGACACGTTCTGGAGGCCTGTAAGGACAGTCTCAAGAAGCTTAAGTTAAATTATCTAGATTTATATCTTGTTCACTTTCCTGTAGCCGTCCGGCATACTGGTATGTTGGTTTCTTTTGCATCCCTTGAATTTATGTTTTTTGTGCTTATTGTAAAAATTATTGTTATCACTGTCAAAATACTGATCTGACTGAGCTGTATTTTTAACATTACGCGCGGAGATCTCAAGAGTTATAAATAAATATCTCCATTCCTTACTCAATATTGGTTTAGATCTTTTAACATAATCTCTATTTCTCTGATGGTTTATCTCTCGTGTTATTCCATGTTTGTGTTTGTTTATTACACACTGCAAAATTAGCTTCTATCATGATTTTTTTGTCTGGGATTTTTAACTTGCGATTTCATGGACATTTGGGCGTCTTCTATATAAGTTTGCCATATTCCACATGCATGCAGGGGTTGGTACTACTGATAGTCCTTTGGCTGATGATGGAGTCCTGGACATAGATACCAGTATATCTCTGGAAACTACATGGCATGCAATGGAAGAACTTGTTTCATTGGGCTTGGTTCGCAGCATAGGTATCAGGTACAGTTTGGGGCTGCAATCAATCTTCACTACGCTCTAGTAGATGCTCTAGAAATCCTTTTTTATGACCACAGTTTATGGATAAGTTTTATTTTAGAAACAGTAAAATCATGAATGAAGAAAGATAAAACATTCAATCTTGTTAAGTTCATTGAGGATTGGCATGATGACAGTCTCTCATTAGTTATTATTTAAACATGTTTTTAAGTGCCCTTCAACTCCTGCATGGTAGTTTATATTATTTTGGGATGATCGAAGACTTGCAGCCAGGTATTTTTGCAATCTCCATCATGTGATTGATGATGGCCTCATCAAGTGATTCAGCAATCAACTGGATTGACATTTATGATACATATTCAAGATTTTTTTTATGCTGCTTTATTCACCCTTGCAACATGTTTCAAACTGTGCTTTGCTATTATCACCAACTCCTAGTGAGATAAGGCTGTTTGTTTTAGTTGCTGTTAGTTTCACCTACCATAATGAAAGAGGATTGGAGTAATGTATCGGATAATGCAGGCCATCTATGTTTGATTTTGTGGTTTACATGTTCCGAATATTAATTTTAGAAATGTTTGATTTTGTTTAATGAAATTACACTCACAAAGAGCTATTTGCAGCAACTATGATATCTTTCTGACCAGAGACTGTTTAGCATATTCCAAGATAAAGCCTGCTGTGAATCAGATTGAAACTCATCCATACTTCCAGCGCGATTCTTTGGTCAAATTTTGTCAGAAGCATGGGATTTGTGTTACAGCCCACACTCCACTTGGCGGTGCTGCAGCAAACACAGAATGGTTCGGTACAGTTTCATGTTTGGATGACCAAGTTCTCAAAGTTAGTTGTCAATACTAGTTCCCAAACACTGAATTAATTGTCAACTATTATAACTGCCAGCCAGTGTCTATCCAAAAAAATTGATTGGCAACCCAGAAAGGGAATTTGACTAATTTGAGGGTCTATCATTTCTTTGTTGCCAGGGTCTGGCTGCAAAATACAAAAAGACTACTGCTCAGATTGCTCTTCGCTGGGGCATTCAAAGGAACACTGTGGTCATTCCTAAAACATCAAAATTGGACAGACTGAAAGACAATTTCCAGGTATTTGATTTTGAGTTGGCTATAGAGGACATGGAGCTCATCGGAAGTATGGACAAGAAATATCGAACCAATCAACCAGCCAGGTTTTGGGGCATAGATCTTTTTGCTTGAGAATGCCCTTCCTCTCTAAGCATGTATCGTGATCCTCTAAATATGCAAAAATACTGCCTGAGTGCCTGTTCACCCTTAAAGACTTGTATTGACATTCGGGTTTGGCATAAGCTTAATCAAATCTAATAAGCTTTTGTTGTTACGTGTAATGTGCTCAGTGATGGTTAGCCCTTGTCAAATCTTTCAAACTAAAATTGGTGAGATTGCAAAATATTTTGGTGCTGAAATTGTTTACTCCCATCCCTTTTACCACTGTTCTATTTGGGAGTCCTCGCCATTATAAATGTGTAGTTGAAAAGTTTCTGAATGGTAACAGTTTTTCTTTTTACAAATAACAATCAAAAGTACTCGATCCAATTTAGTATGGAGTATGCACTACAAGAAATTATCTTCACAAAGTCGTGGAAACAAATGAGAATTTAAATAACTATAAAAATTTTGACCAAAAATAAATAAATAAATAACTATCAAAATTTACCGGAATTTTCAGGCTGGATCCATTCGCAACTATTTAGTATTATGGCATTATATTAAGCATATTACAAGATGACCCTACCAAAATGTTCCGATTTTTACGCCCAAAAAAAAAAAATAGCCAAAAAATATCGATTGAGCATTGTAATGTAATTATAAAGTTCTCAAAAACGAAAAAACTCTATTTATACAATAGCATGTACATCTTAAGAAACAACGAAGTTCTTTGCCGCAATCAATTGTATCAAGTACACATTAACCCAGAATCTTCAGATAATAAATGGAATTACAGCGAACCGATCACTTGGATAGTCTTCAAATTTCTGACGATACCAGATATGTGTTTCCGCTGCTGCAAATGTCAGATTTGCCACCTGTACCAAAAAAACGAAATGTGCAAACAACAAATCAAAACCAAAGATCGTTAGTTTAAAACATTATATTCTTGTTCTGCAAACGAAATATTACCACAAAAACAAAAAGTAACCAGATTGTAAGGTTGGATCCTCCAGTAGCGACCACAAAACTAGCGTATATAACCTTCATCATTATCAAATATTAGGCTTATCCATACCATATCTATCAATCACAATAGTCGAAGTAACAGAGACTGAGAATAAGAGAGTTACGATTTCTGACAGATAATGTGGAGAGGAAACGATTTCAAACCAATCACCATGAGGAATTACATATTCCTCTGCTTGTCTTGAAACTCGTAGAGAACCCTGGCAAAATGATAAAACTCAAAAAGGTTCATAAACTGCGAGATAACCTAATCCTCCTCATTACTAAAATGATATATTTACTGCAAAAATATTTTATTTAAAGAATGATTGCATATGGATATTAGTTTACAAAATGTCGAACACATACAAAATAAATAAAGAAAATCATATCTATTCAATTTTTGTGACTTGTTGACATTAGTCTTTTATAGCATCAGTTAAATGAAAATAAATAGTAATAAGCCATGACAATAAAAACGAGATAACAACTGAAGTCATGAGGATGGTATCAAAACAGTCGATATTCTTGTTTCACAAATTGAAACCAAGGATTTAGATGTCAATCAAGCAGATAATGCATACAAGAATTTTATGGCACTGATATTGATGAATCCAACCCCACAGAAAAACAGCTGCACCAATCCAATGCTTCCACCCAAGCTTGATGAGGGGATTTATAACTTGCCAGAATTCTAACTCTGGTATTGGCATCTGATTCTTGCCTCTGACAATGAATTCAGTCACTAGATTTGATAGGAACTCAAACACCTCTACAGCACAATCACCGCAGAGTGACAGTGGCGCTGCTATGTAGAAACTAGCTTCAGAAAAATAACAGATCAATCATCTTCAATTTAGTATTAGTTTGAATACAAGTAGAGATAACTAAGATGTATAATCAGAGGAAAAGCTGCGATCAATATTTATCTAGTATTGTGCCATCTAAGTACATAGGTGCGAGTGCGACCCTTCAGCACTTGAGATAACCAGAAAGGTGGCAATAAATTTTAGATTTCACATTATGAGAAGCATGTTAAATCTAAATAGGACTATCACGTGTATATAATAGTTCACAAGGAAGAAAGAAAATGGAATCAGCCATCCCAAATTGCAGTCTTCTACTTCTTTCCTCTGCTCTGCTTGTTTATCCCATACTCCTCTGTTGTTTTTTTCTTCTGCTTGTGTTTTGAGTTCAATGCATTATGGTAGTTAGTGTGTATTAAGTTTCCATTTTTAACCATCAAATCATGTACCTCAATAACACTTAAACATACAGCCTAAATCTGAATACCAATATCTCCTCCATCAAAACCATCATAAGTATTATCGACTACAAAAATCATCTTAATAAGAATTGTTAATGCTTCGGATTGTCCAATTAAAAAAAAAATAAGGAAAAATCGTTTCAGGAAAATATTTCAACGAGTTTATGCAACGCATCATAACGAATTCAGGAAAGTAACTGAACATATTAAACCAAACCATGCAATAGAACAAGTATCAAAACATGCATATTCCCCCATGCTAAAAATACGTAGTTCTATGGCAACTAGAACATTGTTGATCCAAGCATCTCAGCATGCTCATATTTCACAAGAAACCTCTCACCAGAATTGCATCGTCGGCACTTAACATAAAATAGACATTTCACATAGCAAGTGAAGTAGGTTGAGGAAAGATAAAGAACAAACTCACAACAATCCAGTAAGATAACCAAGTACATGCATGCGAGCAGAGGGGCTATAGTTGAAAACATGTATGGTTTCATAAAGGCGCCTTAGGACTTGAGCTTCCATCAACAAAAGCAGAAAAACAGCTTGCCAAGCCACATAGCTCAGCCTCAATTTAGATGAACCAGTTCTTATAGAAGAACCCCCAGTCAAGAAACTGGTGATAGTCGAATACGAAAACGGCTCTGCAACCATTGGTACCATGCTATAGGCATATACCCAAGTTGCAACAAGTAACAACGTTGTCCATATGGAAGCCACAGCGTAGAAGTGCAAGAAGAACCTTTGAGGAATGGTGAATTTCTGCAACCCAGTACGGTAAAGGTTTCAACTTTGGTGCACCCCATAACATTCCTAGCGTGCAACTTTGTTTCCAAGGGTGAAAGATAAAAAATTTACACACGGGCAAAGTGAAAATTTAAAAAACATGAAAAGGGGTTAATGCAAAATAAGGAATGAATGTGAAAGTTATGTTACTTGGGACGAAGAGTGCATGGTTTTTCCTCTGCCAGCAAAACCCAACAAGGTTCTACGGAGCCAACTCAGCTTGGAAGTGGGAATAGAAGCGATGATGATGGGTAAGGTGCCAGCAACCCAAGCCACCCTCAGCAATTGAACGAGAAGCATTTTCATGAGTTGATGATGCAACACCGCCATAGTTATTAGTTTCTGTGGGAATTTAAAGTGAAAGAGATACCAAACGTGGGGTGCGGTGCAGGGAATTAACAAATGTGCTTGAACTAAATGGAGCGATTAGGGATCCGATTTCAATGTTTCATTCTCCTCCTTCAATAAAGCAAAGAAACAAAATTTAGCAGAAGATTGATTCAGTTGGAAAGGGGGTTTTACAAACTGAAGCCTTTTTTTTTTTTTTAATTAGTTAAAATAAAATTAGAAATTAATAAATTAATATAGAATGAATGTATTAATAATTTATTTAGTAATATAATAACATATAATTATTTTAATTTAAAAATAATAAGTTTTAGTTTCAAAAATATCTTTCTAAATAATTTTTTGAAATTGAATAAAAATTAATATGAAATTATTATATATAAAAATAAATGTATAAAATAATTTAATTGCGCTTTTTTTTATTGAAATATAGAAACAATTTAAAATATTTTATTTAAATAAAAAATTACTGTATTAAAAATAGTTTAAAATTTATGATTGGACGAAAACGGAATAAAAATATCTATCCTCGAACTGTGTTAATTCATTATATGGAATTAAAATTATAAAAGTATTCTTATATTTAGATAATATATATATATATATATATATATATATAAATATAATCTTATATAAATATAATCTTAAATTATAATATCGTAATTATTTCAAGTAAATGATTAGTTCAATTATTTAAAGATTCAAATAATATTATTTAATTTGTAAAAAATTATAATAATAAATACATCAAATAATAAAAGGCATGAAATTTTATTTAAACTTATAATAAATTTAAAAAGTTAGGTTTAAAATATTTTTAATAATTAAATTATCATTAAAAAAATTATTAGCTACTGAATGAATGAGTTTATATTTTTTATTTTTTTATATTATAATAAAGAAAAATCTATTTAATAATGATAATAATTTATGAAAATTTTTAAAAATGTTATATATTTTTAAAAATTATATATATGTTCCAAACTTAAAAGAAACAATTTTTGTCATTTCATTTTTGGTCCAGAGGTATCTAGAGACTGTTCAAATTAGCTAAAATTATTATATACAGCAAAAACCTTCTTAACACAATTATATTTACTGTTGAAATTAGATAAATACGTCGAAACTCTTCTTAACACAGTATATTTAGCAAAATTGAAACTTAAAAAAGCACTGTAAATGAAAGTTAATAAACGATAGTTTTCCTATCTCATTTGATTGTGAAAAATATTTTCCTAAAACATTTTTTATTAATTAAAAAAAATTAACGGGTAACTTGCGCCACTTCGTCTTGAGCGCTCACTATGCGACGTCGTATTTGCGGTGGAAAGTTTGCTTTGCCGAATGACAAAATTGGGTCTCGCTTTCAGAAGAACATGGATAGGAACGGTATTATTGCGTGGGCCAGTATTGGGCCCACCTTTTGATTTAAGAGTGGATAAGGCCCTTTTTGAATTCTTCTTCTTTTCCTAGGCCATGCCCTTCCCTAAGTTAATGTACCGATTCCATTACTCTTACAACAAAACCATGTGCTAGGGTCACGTGTGCTGGGAAAGCCGTATAATATTATCTTTTTTTAATAATTCTAATTTTATTTAAATTATAAACATTTAGAGCATTTTAAAACTAATTTTGCAGATAAAACTCAATTTCAAAACCTTCCTTAAACGAAAGTAACACGTCATGTTGCAATCAATCGCGTAATCTAATGATGTACATATCATGGGATTGCAAATCACGACCCTTCATTATGCCACGATTGATGCCATCTCATGGGTCCCATCCATTACAGTACTAAAATCAGTTTCAAATAAAAATTATGTAATTACTATTTAATAAACCCTTTGCAAAATCTATCTTTCTTGTTATATAGATATTTCGTGTCTTGTAAGAGTAACAACCTCAATACTCTCAATCAATGTCAATATTGCATTCAATGGTGTGAAAGGATCTCATGATATTAAAAAAAAAAAAAACTACATTAACTATAACAAACATTATATGGCATTATTTTTAATGGCGTAACTTGTTAGAATTGTATAAATTTGTTAATTTTAGTTTTTAGATAAATTTCACCATCGCATGTTATTTTTTAACCTTGTAAAATTTAATAACAATAAATTTATCGTCATTTAATCATAGAGTAATTTATAATTTAAAAAATTAATATATATAGTGACTGCTTCAAAATTCATACCCAAGATAATTTTTAATTATTTATTAGTGTATTTTTTTTATAGTGATAAAAGTTTAAAATAAAACCATTTAAATAATTATTTTCTTTGATAGTGTAACCCACAAAATGAATGTGATTTTTTCTCTCTTTTTATTTAATTATCTATGTTTAAAATAACATTGAGAAAGTATCAATCAAATTTTTTCAGTATTGTCCTTATTTGTTATTGTGTCATAAATATTGTTAGGGTGCAATTATTTGAAAACTATTTTATTAATATAATTGAGAAGTTTCTTATAATATGTGTATTATCTTAAGTGAAAGATTATATAATATAACAGGAAAGGAATATCACAAATGGATATAATTAAATTTGTGAGAATGGAAGGAGTGAAGCTTAGAAATAGATATTCTTGGTGCCTTGGTTGTTTGCACTTTAGCATGAATATTGGCCTCTTACCAAAAGGCATGTAAAGGTTAATGATTAAGGATTTGGTACCGACTATTGGTTTGACCATATATGGTTCAAAACCTGTAATTTTATTCACCCCCTTCAAAAAATGTTTGCAGTTATCATCCTTGTCATTTGTCGTCAAGTTTTCTTTTTATTTTCATCATGGATGTGATCTGTCTCTTCCTTCTCAAGGAACTCCATTTAATGGACCCAACCCTATATTTGAATTGTGAAAAGAAAACACTTTTTATAGCTGAAGAAAAGAGGAGTGAAAAAAAATACTAATATATTTTCTTTCTCTCATCCAAAATAAAAGACAAGTTTCACTTTAAACACTGAAATGCCTCATTTTACATCAACGTTCGTTTAATTAAGTGCTAAGATTTTGTAGAGCTCAGCTCACAAAACAGTGAGTGAATTTGATGACAAGACAAGCACTCAAATTTAAAAAAAGAAAAAAGAAAAAAGACCACCAACCTAACAAAATCAAAGAGCAATTATTTGAGTGATAAAGTGGAGCAATATTTCCTTTCTTATTAAGTTCACATTTATGTTATTTTATTGGGTAGAAGAAAAACAAAAAGAGTACAATCTGTACCCAATAAAATATATCAATTTAAACTGTGTAATCCTTGTCATTGTAATTATTTTCAGGTATTAAATACTTATCAGCAATTTTAAATAAAATAATATTTTAAAATTTCAATACTGTAGCACAATAACTAATAATTTTCATTTTTGAATGCTTAATCATTGCTAATCATTTTCTCTCAATACACAAACAGATATATATATACAATGCTCAAAAGGCAATGATTTAACTATTCTGGATTTTTAGTTTTGCAGAAGTTTAGTATCAAATCAAATTGTTAACTTGTTAAGTTACATGAAAATAAAAATCATTTGGTGGCTTAAAAGGGATATTTCGGCATAGTTTAGAAACCCACGTTGAATACTAAATATCAATATAAAAATGTCTACTAATATAAAAGTTAGATCATATTATGATCTATTTACTAAAATATTATCAAGAAAACCAAGTTTCTTTCCCTAACACGTGTCTTTCTCGGATCATTTGTATTTCTGCTTGTAATTTTGTGACCGGTGCAAATAAATACACATACACTCTGACTAGTTTAAAATTAATGATAATAATAGCTAAAGATAGCATCACTGATTCGCTGCATCAAAAGAATAAGCGAAATCGAGCTTACGTTGAAAAACAAGTGTAAGAAACGAAAAAAGGTCACCTTTTGGGTTAGCCAAGGGTTTTTGAAAAATATGAACGGGTTGTATGAAATTATACATATGTATTCACACTAATGTAATTTTAAAACTTTTTATATTTAATTTAAATTTTATATTTAATTTATATCAGATTGTAATTTATTATTTAACCATTAAATATAAATTAAATATAAAAGTTTTTAAATTTATATTAGTAAAAGAAAATAATTTTCTATATATATAATTGATAATATCTTTTAATTTTAATAAAAATAAATATTCTGATATTGATAATTATTTGCTAAACATTTTTTAATTTCTAACATAAATCATGTCTTGTTACAAAAATATATCATACACGAATGCACAGAAAATTTAAATCTTAAGCTCGCAGAGGCTATGAAGAAGTCATCCAGACTAACTCGATATTGTTAGGTTAAAATAAAATTAAAGTGTATTCAAAGATATAATAAAAATAAATTTATTAATTGAAACTATGTCATAAGTTTTATAAACTTTTAAAATAATTATTCTTTTTCAGATTTTTTGACATATTAATATTTTTATTATTTATTTTTAGTGTTATTTTATAAATTTCATAAATAATTAATATTGTTTATAACTTATTACTAATAATTCTTATACTTTGTTACAAAATACACCCATATTTTTTATATTTATCATTATCAAATTTAATTATTTTTATTGATATTCCAATCAATGATTGGATAACAATATATTATATTGTTAATGCTTTAAAATTATTAAAATACTAATAATTTTTATGCAAAAATTTTAAAGTGTTTAAAAAAATAAAATAAATATTATAAATGTCAGCAAGTTTCAATAAGATAATATTTTATTCTTTAAAAATGATATATATATATATATATATATATATATATATATATATATATATATATATATATATATTGGAAAGATCTTTTTACACTAGTATATAAATTTAAATTTTTTAAGTTAAAATTTAACTGTAAAATAATAAATTATAACATGTTAAATTTAAATTAAATAAAAAGTTTATATTAAATATTAAAAAATTTAAACTTATATCGGTATAAAAAAATTCTGCCTCATATATATATATATATATATATTATATTTTTTATAAATAAACTTATGTAATATAAGATTTATACTAATTTATTTAATACATGATATTATAATATGTCTAACAAGCTCGTAATTCTATAACATCTCATTCATTCGCAATTTTGTTTTGTGCCCCTCACGTTTGGACCACGGCAGAAAATCCTACGCCCATGATTTTTATTGGTGCCAAATTTTAAATAGAAAATTTACCTTTTTCAATGTCCATACAATCTTCTTTTTTTTTTGTTCGTTATGGCTATCTTCACATCGCAACCATTTATTTTTGTAAGATCAGATAGAATCATAGGAATAAGAATCTGAACAAGTCTTTATGCCCCGTCCATGTCAAACTTGATACTTTTATAGGGTTTGTTTAGGAAATAAAAAGATATATATGGCAATTAAAAGAAAATACAAAACCTGGTCTTAAAATTGTGAAAGCACGGAAAAATATTATGGCCTTTCATTCAAGAAAAGAAAAAAAATTCATTGAAAATTTAACCATAGAAAAATAAAATAATAATCAGGGGATAAATAATACCACGGGCACCTTCCTTTTATGTTGTTTTGCAAGGGAGGTAAGTTTTTATTTGTCTTGAAGTTTAAAAAAATAGTAAATTTTTTATTTTTAAATAAAAATATAATTTTCATGTAATTGTGTAAGTTAGATTAATTAAATATACATTTCAAAATATTCAATTCATTAAAATCTAAGAGACAGTAAAACGCCAATGTAGGCCAAATAAAAGAGACCATCGGGACATTATTGAAAAAGTTTAACACGAATAAAAGATAATGAATTTAAATAAATTGATATTGTAAATAAAAATGAATATATTTTTTAAAAAAAAACCTGCAATGTACCCCTCCGGAACTGTAATAAATGGACAATAACTTGGTGCCAGAAAAGGGGGGTAAAGAACAATAAAGAATGAAAAACATTGTGATTTGGGTAAAGAGTGGCTTAATAATCTGCGGAGACAAGGGGAAGAAAAACCTGCCGTATGAGAACACAAATGAGGTCGGAATGAAATTGAAATGCGAAGGAAATGCAAATTCGGGGCAAATGAAATTCTTATTAAATTCACGCGTAGTAGTCATGAAATCCGTGTAATAGTCATCGTCGTGGATGTAGAGAGAGAAAGCAGAGAGAGAGAGAGTGTGTTAGAGAGCTCGTTTTCTTCTCGCTCCTTGTCGTTGCTCTCCTTCTAGAGAGAGAGAGAGTGAATCTTGGAGAGATAAGCGCCTGCTCCTTCGGCATTTCCGTCAGACAAAGTTAACACTGTGAGCTGGATTAGAAGACCAACGCTTTTATTAATGAATTCGCTGATGAACACTGTCATGTCAAGGTACCTCAACCAAACAAAGACAACCTTAACTCTTCTGTTATCTCAATTTCTGATTAGTGATTACGCTTTGCGGTTGCAGATTACCGGAACTTTATTAACCGAAATTTAACGGTAAGTTGAAGTACTAGTAGTTGTAGTAGTAGTACTAGTAGTGAGGAATTTTGAAGGTGGAGAAGAATGGGTGATAATGAAGATGCTAATAATGAAATGATGCAGAGGCTTCGCTCTTCTTCGTTCGGAGCTTCTTCTTCTTCGTTTATGAAGCAGACACTGAACATGGACCAACTCAGCATACCCCAATTCAGCCCCTCACAAATGCGAGCGAGGCATCATTTTCAGCAGAGTTTCGGTGTAGAAGGTGGTAACAAACGAGCCGGGATACCACCTTCGCACCCGCACCAGATCCCACCCATTTCGCCCTACTCCCAGATCCCGGTGTCGCGTCAGCAATTACCTTCTCCTACACCCACACACACCCGATCATTGTCTCAGCCCTCTTTTTTCAACCTCGATTCGCTTCCCCCTTTGAGTCCTTCTCCCTTTCGTGACTCCTCTTCCACTTCTATCTCAGAAGCTGACGTGTCAATGGAAGATCGTGATGTCACTTCGCATGCTCTGCTGCCACCATCGCCTTTCTCTAGAGGGAACACCAACAACACTGTCACCGCCGCGCCCAACAACAACAACATTTCTCGCATTGGAGAGAGTTTACCTCCGCGCAAAGCGCACAGGCGCTCTAACAGTGATATTCCATTTGGGTTTTCCACCGTTTTGCAATCTTCGCCGCCCCTTATTCCTCTTAGGGGTAGAGAGAACCCTGGTGTAGCGAAACCTGCTCAGCTGGTCAAAAAGGAGACAACTTGGGATAGGGGTGTTGATCATAATGCAGAGGGATCCGGGGAGAAGAAATCCCCTGAAGGGGAGGTGGTGGATGATCTTTTCTCTGCCTATATGAATTTGGATACCATTGATGCTTTGAACTCCTCCGGGACTGATGATAAAAACGGGAATGAAAATCGTGACGATTTGGATAGTAGAGCGAGTGGAACTAAGACTAATGGAGGTGATAGCAGTGATAATGAGGCAGAGAGTAGTGTTAATGAGAGTGGGGAGGGTATGCTGAAGCAAGGAATGAGTGTTTCAGGTGAGAAGAGGGAGGGGATGAAGAGGAGTGCAGGCGGGGATATTGCACCCACCACCAGGCACTATAGGAGTGTCTCAATGGATAGTTTCATTGGGAAGTTGAATTTCGGTGATGAATCGCCTAAGCTGCCACCTTCGCCTGGTCCTCGAACTGGTTTGATTTCACCCGGCAATTCAATTGATGGGAATTCACCCGCTTTCAGCTTGGAGTTTGGAAATGGGGAATTTAGTGGGCCTGAATTGAAGAAAATTATGGCCAACGAAAAGCTTGCTGAGATTGCTCTGACGGATCCAAAGCGTGCAAAGAGGTGTGTTAATATTATACTATTCAATGTCTTATCTTCATCGGTAGCTTAACGTGTATGGTTGATGTTGCCTGTTCACTAATTGACTTGGTTTTTGGGTCGTTTCAGGATTTTGGCCAATCGGCAATCAGCTGCGCGGTCCAAAGAGCGGAAGATGCGATACATTTCAGAACTAGAACACAAGGTTCAGACTCTGCAGACAGAAGCCACCACACTGTCTGCACAGCTTACTCTGTTACAGGTGGGAATGCATTTGTGTTTGACTTTGTAAACGTGGAGTACAGTAACCGCCGTATTGTTTCTAATTTGGTGTAACTCCTTTCCATTATGTGAACGCAGAGAGATTCTGTTGGACTCACTAACCAGAATAGCGAGTTGAAGTTTCGCCTTCAATCCATGGAACAACAGGCAAAGCTTCGAGATGGTATTTCTGTCCTTCACTTCATAGTCTTTCAAATTTCCTCTCCATTTTATTTTTGCAGATAAGCAAAATGTATGAAAATTTCTGTCTGAAAACTGCTAAGCATCGGTATTTAATTGTTCACCTATTGCCTTGGTTGAACTAATAGTTGCTTGGATTATTTCATATATTAACTTGCATAGTGAATATTTCAAGTGAAGAGTTTAAGATTAAGTGAACAGTTAGCATTCGGCTTATAAAGTGGAAACAGCATCCAAATTAATGATGGCTTTGCCTTTGCTTAGTTTTATTATACTTAAGAGCTGGTAAGCTATTTGATTGCGTGTGTCATGATGAAAATATTACAAATATGGACAATTGACAATAATACAAAATTTACTGTGGAGAACAGTGGTGTGTAAAAGATGTACACATATCTTTCAAGTTAGTTGTTTAGGTTTTACCAAGCGGTTATGAGTTTCATTCTTGCCATCCCATTCTTCTAAAAGGTTAAATTTCACCATAAGGTAAAGCCAGCCTGCTCATTATCTTCATTTCAACCCCAAAATGCTCGAAAATTGAAGGGGGGGAGGGGGGTAGCTGAATTAAGCACTTCATATTTACTAAGAACTTGCATATAGAAGTTTGTATTGTGAATGGAAATGGCATGCGACACTGTTGTAGCATTTGAACATGGGTTGGAATTCAACAGATAAGATTTGAAGTTTAACAATAAGATCATAGACACTAGTGTGCTTCAGCACAATAGATAAAAACAAATCTGTGTTGTAGACCTCCCCAGATGAGGAGGGGATGTGCCCAATCCATTGTTAATGTTTAACTGACCTACATAGATATTCCTGTCCTAAATATTGGGGAGTGTTGAGAAATATTTTGTGCGAGGTGTAATTAATTCTATTGGAAAGTGTTGTGCACGAGTGCATACTTTTTATTATCTGTTCTGTTAACCTTTTCTTATGGCTGACTTTCAGCATCTAAAAAAACAAAAGCTTACCATTTTTAGTTGCTTAAAATTAGCTAGAGATTAACATTAGCTTTTTACTATTTATTAATATCCTCTGTTTCTAATGTTTCTTTTTTATTAGAGATCCATAATTGCTTGTCTTTTACATTTTATACAATAATTAGTAGTCCATTTGTGCTACTAATAACTGGAGACATATATGACTTCATCAATTGCCTCCTTCTGATTATTCCTGGGCATTGTGTTTTCTTCTAATAGCTCTAAATGAGGCGCTTACTGCGGAGGTTCAGAGACTAAAGCTTGCTACGGCTGAATTGAACGGGGATTCACATGCTTCTAGCTGCTTGATTTCTCAACATTCTGTGAACCCTCTGTTGTTCCAGCAGCAGCAGCAACCTCCTACTGCGTCCCAGCAAAACATTCATCTTCAACAGCAACAGCTTCAGCATCAACCACAGCAGCAGAATGGTAATGCCAACTCAAAGGCCGACTTAAAACAATAGGTTGGGAAGGGCTTCTGCAGCTGGAAGGTTCTTTACATATTCACTGCTGTTTCATTGCACTCAGTTTCTCATATTTGTTAAGGTTCTCATAGTTGTTATCATCTTAAGTTTGATCCGCATTACTTGTCCAGCTCGGACAGAAAGTCCATATACAAGTTCTAATCCCTGTCTTATATTTAAATTATAGAGCATATTAAATTTCAGTATATATCTTTAATTGTAAGCATTATTTGGACATGATTTGTTTTATGATGGCATTTAGAGAAACTGTTCAAACTTTTGTTTTGTAAAGAATGATCATTCTGTTGTGGTTCCGTTCCAAGTTTCTAATCTGTTTGGACTAATTGAAAGTGAAGAGAAAATTCAATGCATTAAATTAAAGTCATGTTCAATAATTCAAGTATGTGGACTATTCTGTGTAATCCGACATTTATTCATGTAATCTATACTATTAAATCAACAAATTATCCTCTATCATCTTCTTTCTGAACTTGAAAAGAACACTTGACAAAGAGTATACTGGTGCAATATAAATTTGTTTCATATTTCAAATTTATTGTGAATTATAATATTTAAATAGAAAATCAAAATTTGAGTTTCAGAAAACAAAATGATGAAACGATCAAATTTATTTCATTTGAAAACAGCAAAACTTAATTGATTCAGTAAAATAAATGGAACTCAATAATAATTTAAATTAAAAAGACAAAAAAATATAATTAAGTCGCACTAATAAAAGAACTCAAATTGGTTGCTTATCAAATCTCCGAAGCTCCAGAGAAACAAATGTCTTGGTGAATTTTGCAAGCAATCCTCAAATAGTTAACCAACTTCTTATGGCAACCAACAAGAAGGAAAAAGATTTTCACGCTACGTTTGCGTGTGGACTGTCAAATCAGAAATGAATTCGTATATACAATACTCAAACAGTTGATATCTAGTTTGCAAACAAGAATAAATACTGGTTTGGACGTGTAAAGGGCGTTGTTTAATTCAAAATAGTTTCAAAAACGATTGAAGAGTTATTTTGAAAATAATGGTAATTCTTTAAAAAAAAAAAAAAACTACTTTAGTGTTTTTCTCACGAGCTAAAAAAGAGGAATTTTTCATGCATATGGTCTTGATTATCTAATTTACATGCTTGACATTTATCACTATCTTTTAATTGAGCTCATACTTTATTGCTGGTATATCTTTTATTTGAAACACCGTTGACTTTGTTTTACAACAAGTGAGGCTCAAATCAAAGGAGCTCAAAAACGCCAAGAACAACAAAGAAACCTTGACAACGATGTTTCGGCCATTCCAACAATGAGAGACACTTTTTCTTGTGTTTTATTTTTCAGGGGAGGGGTTACGGTTTAAAGAAGGGTGATACAGATATGATTTTTGTAAGTGACATGTTTGAATTTGGTTCTTACTTTCTATGTTCCCTTAATTTACCATTAAATTATTAAAAGAGGGACAACTATGCACATCTTTTAAACACATCTTGATCCATTTCCTTTAATACCAGTTTCTTATTAATACATTGTTTCCCACTTATGCTAAAACGGAAAAAATCCTTGGATGATGTACATGTATTGACGTGACTTGATAAAACTTAATAGTTTATATCTTTTTTTTCCTCAATTTTCATGTGGGTGACATTACATGTATCAATTTTTTCCAAAGTTTGTCTAAAAAATTATAGAAAGTGTAGTTGGTAATGGTACTTTCAGAAATTTATAAAATATCATATAGTGCAAGATTAGTTTTAATGTGTCGCCTGGAAATAATTTTGGAAGTTTATATTCTGGGATAAGGCTCAAAACGTGCCATTTCGACCTACGCAGCATTTATTTCTTTTTAATTTATACAGGGCATAAGTATACTTCGGAAGTTCACATGAGTTGAGTCGGTATCACTTCACTAATATTATATTATGACGTTTAATTGCACCGAAAAAAAATGTGGCTTTTAATTAATATCATACCCACAAATGCATGATTAAAATTGTAAAGTTCATATTTGGTAACTGGTTATTTTCCTTAAAAATTCAAATTATGGTTAACAAATAGTAGAAATAGGAATCAAATAATTGAGATAATCGTTGAAACTGATGATAAAGTAATATTTTAAAAGAAATCTACCTACTCATTAGTCAGGATGGCCGAGTGGTCTAAGGCGCCAGACTCAAGTTCTGGTCCTCGTGAGAGGGCGTGGGTTCAAATCCCACTTCTGACAAACCCACCTTAATTCATCTTACTTTGTGTTCTTTTCTAATGTAATTTTTTTTGTTGTTTATTTTTTTTTTATTACATTGCTAATTATATCTCTCTCTTTTTTCTCCCTTATTACCCATTTCTTTTCTCCACTTAATTTCACCTAAAAAGAGGTATCAAATTATAAATTTTCTTTCTAATTCATTGATTGCTCTCGCGCTTGTTTGGTTGCCCGTTAATTCATTGTAGCATGCTTTCCAGAGTATGATAAATGGCAGAAATTGTTTTGAAGTGAATCACACTATACGTTTTTAATTGCTTTGATTATTATTGGGCTGAGATTAAAATCGATCTTGAAGGTTACAGATCGACCTTTCTTTAATCCTTTTATTTTGAAAATTTTAATTATTTATTTGTTTTGGATGATTTAGGAAAGAACAATTTGCAAAGAATTAATACGACTAAGTAACACGCTTGAGTATAAATGAGAGGAAAGAAATAAATAAAAATGAGACTTAATAATAAAAAGAGGAAAAGAAAGGAAAAGAGTAAAAATTGTAATGTGATGTTAATAATAAACGTAAAAAAAATAAATAATAAGATCTATTAAAGAGAGGGGTTTATAATATAAAAGTATGAGTAGATACATAGCATACAATGTTATGTATATACTAACTTTACTATTTCAACTAACTTACATTTAACATTGTTATGTAATAGTAAATTGATACAGTAAAGTTATACATATTTGTATATCACTGTGAATTTTAGAATTTTTAGTAATGAACTTCATTTCTCAAACACATTTTTTGTCTATGGTATCATTTGAGATATTTTTTTCCTGAAAGGCACTGTCTTTTTTCTTTTTTTTTTTTCAATATTCCTTTCTTTTAAATTTCTTTCTTCTATACAATCACTGTGTTCTTGAAGTTGTCACATTCATATGGCTACCATGGCTGATCTTTGTTCTGTCTTCAGCCATATCTTATTTCTAAACCCTTGAGTGTTAAACACTTCAATTCTTGGAGCAAAGCAACGGAGCTTGCTCTTATTAGAAAGAAAACAATTTTCTTTTGTTGATGGATCAATTGTTGAACCTAAACCTGCTAATCCAACGTTTTTGATATGGCAAAGAAACAATTGCATTGTTGCATCATGGATCTTGAACCCCATCTCCAAAAATATTTCAGCCAATGTGATTTGAAATATTACTGCCGCTCGCATTTGGAGTCTAAAGGAGCGGTTCGGACGACCAAATGAGCCACAAATCTTTCTACTTAAACATGATCTCATGGTCATGGATCTACGTGAAAAATCTTTATATGTGAGTCGTTATTTTTCTGAGCTAAGTATCTTTGGGAAGAGTTACAAGAATATAAAACCTCACATTCTTGTACATGTGGATGTCTTAAAATATGTGATGCATTTTCTAATGGATCTGAATGATTCATTTTCACATATAAAGGGACAAATTTTGTTAATGAATCCCATTCTTCTCATCAATAAAGTTTTTTCTCTCTTGTTCTCCAAGAAGAGAAACAGAGGGAAATTGGAATTCTAATTATACATATTGATGATTCTTCAACATTTGCAGTGAGAAATTAGCCAAGTGAAAAATTCAAGAACCCCTAAGCTACGATTAAGGACAAACATGTGTGTACTCATTGTGGATTCGTAGGTCATTCAAATGATCGATGTTACAAGCTTTTAAGTTATCTGCCAAAATCATAATAATGTAGCTACTACCTCTCTTACAAAATCATAATAATGCAGCTCCTAACCTTGATCAATCTTACGTATAATATTATCTATTAATCCTTCTAATAAGTTGCTTTTTAATAATTCTTGGATTGTAGACCCAGCTGTCAGTTCACATATCACATGTAACTTCAATTTTTTTAAATCTTATCAACTTAATTCTCACGAGTTTGTTACTCTTCCAAATTAAACTATTATTAATGTTACTGATATTGGTTCGATAAGTCTTCCCTCAAGACTAATCTTACACAATGTTCTCTACATTTCTGAACTTAATTTTAATTTGCTGTCTGTTAGTGACTTACTTAAGGATACTTCACTCTTTGTTGTTGTGTTGGTCATGATCATTTTGTGATTTTAGGATCTGCGACCCTCCAAAAAGATTGGGAGGGGTGATATAGTCGAAAGATTATATTTGTTGACATGCTCACAAGCTATTAATTATCTTGTTGGTAATTCTGTTCATAATATCATAAGTAATTGTAATTCTACTTTGAATGCAGTGTCTTATAACAATGCTCATCTATGGTATTGACAAAGTATCTTGTAATACAATCTCTTTTACTATGCCGCGTAATTTTTCCTCTTCCTTTTGTAAAATTTGTCCTTTAGCAAAGTTTAGGAGGTTATCATTCAATTCCTCTAATAATATTTCTGTTACTCCTTTTTCTTTTATAGATTATGATATTTGGGGATCTCATGGTAATCAAACTTATGATTACAAGGAATATTTTCTCATACTGGTTGATAATTGTTCAAGGTACACATGAATGGATACACTTAAACGTAAATCAGAAGCTCCTACAGCAATTGTTCAACTTTTTGCTATGATCGAGACTCAATTTGGTAAGAACAATAAGTGTATTTGGTAAGACAACACAAAAAATTGACACACACAGAATTTCTTAAACAAAATGACACTTACATATAACGCTACAATGTAATAAGATCCTCGGTGATGTTCCACAAAACGGCCAAACTGGGCTTTGATTGTTTCTCTGTTTCAACTTAGGAATTCGTAATGGACCAAAAAAACCAAAACAATCAAGTCTTTATTTGTTGACCGAAAAAAGCAAGTCTTTGCTTGTTTGGGAGAACAATTCACCATGGAGGGATTTTCCAACTCTTGCTTCAACAGTCAACCAAAAAGTATTTAAAGTGCGTTTTGAGAATATTAGGAATTTTCCTTTCGAAAACTCTATGACATAACTTTTGATTGAATTAATTTCTCAAAATAAAGTAATCCTTTTTAGTGCCCCATTTGCATCTCCATGTAAATAGAAGTTTACCCATTACAAATTTTTTCCTTCGAAAAAAAGTAATTTAAACCATATATTTGTGTGTTAAAAATTATGTAAACTTTATTTGATTGATTAAACAAACAAGTCCGTATTCTTTTTCTAAAAAGACTGACGCTAAAATTGTGGTACAATACATTTTCATTTGAGCACATTGGCTTATAAAAATTTAAATAAATAACATTGACAGAGTAATATCTCATTCCCTCTTTAACAATTCTAAAGAGTAAAAATTGTAATTTGATTTATACTTGCCTTTTCATTCGTAGATATGGATATCAGATACGTTGCATTGGCAAGGTTCTAATTGGCTTTAGATTTGCCTCAAAGCTTATCTCAAATGCTCAAGACAAAGCTGAAAGGGGTTCTGTCCATAGATATTTCCTAGCTTGAGAAGTCTTGACGCCACGTAATTAGTTTTACGGTAATATATTGTTGCTTCTTGAAAATATGAATTTTTTTAGACTCTATTTAATTTTTTTTTATTTGTAGTCTTTATATTTAACAAAAAGACATTAAAGATACATAAATTTTGTACATTTTAAAAGCTAACCTAACAAAATATTAAAAAAAATTAGAATATAATTTTATTAATAAAAAATGTTACAATAAATTATATTTAAACTTTTGTTTAAAAAGTCTGAAGAGCCAAAATAGCTTCCTTATCTTTTTGGTTTTGGTACGGTGTCTCTTATCTTTGACTTTGAAGTATAGCGCAAATAGACAAATAGTATACAATAGCTGTTCTCCTTTAGTCAGAAATAAAACTTTGAATTTTCCTTGATAATAAATATGAACAGTAATAATTTATAGTCCATATTGACTTGCACGCTGAGGTCAATTTGAATTTTCTAATTCTACCAATTTGTAGCACCCAATTGTTTTTTTTAAAAAGAAAAAAGAATCTATGGAATAGAAGTGGGGTTCTTAAGCAGACTGTAGTAAGAATCCTCACTCATTAAATAAATAAATAAGAGAGTGATGGTTTGTGAGTTGTGATCTTTGATTGGACCATAACGTGTTAATTATTTCACAGAATGGCTTGAATTAAGTTTGGATTTTTTATTTTGGGTCGACAAGTAAGTTTGAGGTTTGAGAAGTGCAAACTTGGTTTCATCCCAACCCAATGCCAATATATTCTGGGCATTTTGCTAGAAACCAAGGTCTATTTTTGGTTTGAGATATATAGCCAAGTCCATTGGAAGAAGAGAGAGCTTCTTTAATATGTATACTATCAAGTGTTAGACTTTTTGGCAGTCACCATTTAAGAATTGTTTTACAATACATACTGCACATTTTACAGCAGGGACCGAAACTCTTGAGATATCAGGATGGCATTTTGTGAACTTTGGCCACACCAATATGAGAAAATAGAAGTTGGTATTTGCAACAAAAACAATGGGTCCTGAACGGGAGAAAACTAGAAAGTAGAGACAGAAACAAAGTTAATATAACAGCATAAAAATTTTGATTCCCATTTTATTATTGTTTACAGAATACAGCGTATAACATACTTTCATGCAAGGAGTGGTATTTTTCAACCGATCAACATTTTTATGTTACCAAGTAAATATAAGTTGTTTATTTAAAATTTTCATTTCTCTTTCTTCCGCCCATACGAACAAATATATACAATAAAAGTGATGGTGATCAACCATCCAAGAAATCCCAAAGTGTAGGAATAGAATAACATGTTTTAAAGAAAACCCTATATTAAACAGAAAAAAGGGAAAGAAAAATATCCAAAGTTCTTATACCATAGTCTGTTCTAAGTTCTAAATAACAAAAGTTCGGAAGAAACGACCAACAAAAAGTATTATGCATTGGCACTCGGAATCCAAATGAATAAGACAGAGCCCAACATCGTAGTTGCATGGTTTGACATTATCTCTCACCGCACCACATCACATAGGTACCCTTACCTTGGCTTAAATTACGAAACTGCAAACGCCATTTACTGCAAAACCAGAAATAGAACAATGGTCAGAGACTAGTACCCACCTTCACCTCTTTCTGATTTCGGTTTGCCTGAACCCAACCCCCATCAATAGACTCCAAACTCCCATTTAAGCCATCATCCACAAAATCACCAACCCTCTTCACCTTAAGTTCCCTAGGCTCAACAGGGTAATTCCCGGAGAAACAAGCATAACAAAAATTGGGAGATTCATTACCCAACAACCTCTTCAAGCTATCAAAAGGCAAAAAAGCAAGTGAATCAGACCCAATAAACTCCCTTATTTCCTCCACACTCATCCTATTAGAAATCAACTCTTCAGAACTAGGTGTGTCCACCCCATAATAACAAGACCCAATAATTGGGGGGCTAGCAATCCTCATGTGGACCTCTTTAGCACCAGCTTCCTTTAGCAACCTTACTATTTTGGACGAGGTTGTTCCTCTCACAATGGAATCATCCACAACCACAACCCTTTTACCTTCAAGCACAGCACGGACTGGGGAGAGCTTCAGCTTCACACCAAAGTCCCTAATCTTCTGAGAAGGCTCAATGAATGTCCTTCCCACATAGTGTGACCTTATCAAACCCTGCTGAAAAGGAACCCCAGCTTTAGCAGCATAACCAAGCGCAGCTACAACGCCAGAATCAGGAACCGCTATCACAACATCACAATCCACAGGACTCTCAGTGGCCAATATTTCACCAAATTGCCTGCGAGATTCGTACACAGACCTCCCAAAAACCACAGAATTTGGAAGTGCAAAGTAAATATGCTCAAAAATGCATTGCTTTGGCTGTGGATGAGACATAAGGCAAAGAGACTGAACCCCATTTTTATCCACCACCAAAACCTCACCAGGATACACCTCTCTCTCGTACGTGGCTTCAATCAAATCAAGAGCACAAGTCTCGGATGCAAAAACAACAGCACCATTGCTTCTCCTCCCCATAACTAAAGGCCTAAACCCAAATGGATCTCTCACCGCAACAAGCTTATCCGCTGTCACAAACACAATAGAATAAGCCCCTTCAAGTTTCTCACAGGCATCAACGATCCTCAATATGAAAGGCCTGTGCTTTGAGGTCGCAATAAGATGAAGAACCACTTCTGTGTCAGAAGTGGTGTTGAAAATTGATCCATTCTCTTCAAGCTTCGCCCTTAAGGTGCGATAGTTCACCAAATTACCATTATGAGCAACCCCAACAGAGCCAAAACGGTACCCAGCAACAAAAGGTTGAACATTTTTTAGCATGGATTGTCCTGCAGTGGAGTATCGAACATGCCCAATGGCTAAACTTCCGGGTAACTGATCAAGCTTTGATTCGTTGAACACATCGGAGACGAGGCCAACGCCGGTGATGGATTGGAGAACGTTGTCGTGAACAGTGACGATGCCGGCACCTTCCTGTCCACGGTGCTGGAGCGCGTGGAGAGCGAGGTAGCAGAGACGAGAGGCTTCTGGGTCGCCATATATGCCCACGACGCCGCACTCTTCTCGGGGCTTCTCATCGTCGAGAAGGGGTTGAGAGCGCGGGTTGTAGGCGAGGGTAATGTCGGAAATGGGGTTTTTGGAGGAAACGAGGAGAGGGGTTTTGAAAGCGGCGCGTGGGAGAGTGGGTTTTGGGAGGGTTTTGTTGAAAGGGTGGGTCTGAAGAGAGGAGGGTTTGGAGAAAGTGGAGAGATTCGGAGGTGCAGTCGCGGCCATGGTGCGTGCGAAGTGAAGAGTTTGCGCTGTGACGCGACGCAACGCGAGTTTAAGGGAGTGTTTGTTTGACGATGGCAGCGAGGAAGACTCGGAGATGCAGAGGTTGGTTCTAGGTTTTTGGAGTTAGAAGTGACCGAGCCAACTACTTTGTCTCCTCAAATAACCCCCTTTTTTATACTGATTTTCCCTGCAACTGCATTTATTTACACCGTATAAAAACAAAACAAGTCTCGTCCTGTGATGTAATTAGAATGATTCTTTTCATCCACTTGCTATAAATAAGTTTAAGATTTTTTTTTGTAGAATATCAATTTAATATATTTTACTGTAGAAATAATAAATTAGATTTTAGATGAAATAAAATATAAATATATTGTTATTGTTTTAATTCAAAACATGTTACATATTAAAATAATTTTCTTAACATGTATAACATTTCATCTAATATTGCACTGGTTAAAAAATCCATATTAAAATACTATTAGTCGGTGAAATATGCTTAAATTTCATATAATCTTATGATTTTTTTATTAGTCCGATTATTATATTTTTTATTTTTCATTTTAACAAAGGAAAAGTGTTCACTTACTCCATCAGTAAATATTGGATGCTAATTTTAATAATATGAATTTAACTGTTGATTTAAGTGGTTATGAATTCTTTAGGTGTGAGAAAATAGACTCAACAAGTTGGATTATCACATTTAAGAGTTAACTAACTTTTTCAAGCAACTTGGGCTAAGTGACTTGCAACCCCGTCAGTGTTGCCTCATCAACCCTACTAAAATGTAGGTCAAATAAATAAGTCTAGGGTGAGTGACATTAACGAGTTGAACAATAAGTTTTTTTTTATTTTTTAATATGGGTAGAAAATCACGCCGAAAATATTGTAATTTTTAAATTTTAATTTTAAATATATATTTTTAAAGTTTGTATGGGCACCCAACTCATTTAATTTTTTTTTTTCAAATAAGTTGGTGGGGAACCTAGGATCTACCCTTAAAAATAATAGACTAAGCCTTTGAACACATTTTCAAAAAATGGACTGCCACATTTTTATAATCGAATATGTCAAGTATTTATGGATATGTAACATTATATGTAAAATTTACACATGATTTAAAGTATACGTTACATTTTTAGGGTTTAAAGTTAATTGATGAAGTATTAAATAGTTGTTAAATTAAATTGTATGGAATAATTTTGTTTTATTTAACATAAAATGTGTTTGATATGTATAAATGATTAAATATTTTAGATCTAAAAGTAATGAATTAAAAATTATTATTTTATCTTATTCTCTCTATCTTTCTTTCCATAGAACTCCTGTTGCGATTCCAAGTAGAAATTAAAATCTTATAAAAGTTAGAAACATTGTTATTGTGTTATGTTTTTAATTTTTACTTAAGATATTTCTATAAATATTGTTATAAAATAATGGAGACATGGTCAATTTGTCATGATTATGTCAGCCATTAAGTATTAATTACTCTTCCCAATTCATGGTATTTAATCTCACTTTGTTCTACCTGAACGCGGGTGCCATTAACGGGTTTGTGAGAAGATTTGAACATGGAAGAGGATCCAATACTTTTATATATTTGTTATATTTCTATTTTTAATTATTAAGGATATCTGCAAAAGAGGGTGCGGGTGATTATGGATTTAAAGCAATTTCCAATCATGTTATTTTAATCTTTTTTGTAAATATAGGATATATGTTTTATTTTTCTTAATTCACACTTTTGTGGAGTTCTTTCAACCCAAGAGTCTGGGTTTTCACTTCTTTTCCTGTAAATTTTTTGCCTTACTTGTATAAAAGTGGCTTGGTAAAATCTTTCAAAATTTTAACATGGTTCGAGTTGATATTGGAGGAAAGAAATTTTAATCATCAATTTGTTCAAATTTTGAGGTATCCAAAACCTATTATAATAGTTTTTTGTGATTGATACAGAATCTGCAAAATTTGATTACTTTAAATATATTCATTATATAGTTTAATAAACAAATATACATGTTTATTAAATATATTTGTTATGTCATTGATGATATGTTTTTAAAGAGTTGTTGATTTTTTTAATTGCAATGATTAGAAAAATTATCTAATAAGAATCAATTCTAAATTTTTGAAAAAATTTAAACATTAATTTTAATCATTGTATTTTAATTCTTCTTTTGCTCTATGTTATTTTTATCTTCTCGCGATTTTCTTTGTTAATAAGATAAAAATTAATATCTTATCCTAATAAAATAATTATAGATAAAAATTAACTTTTTCTTTTATGAAAGTCAACATGACCATGCAACAAGTTTGTATTGAATCGAGTGAAAGTCAATTGTTGTATTGCATATGCATATTTCTATATTAAATTACATTAAAATGTTTTACTTTATACAAAATATAACATTGATGAAAACTTTTCTACAAATGTGATGGTTTTAAAAACTTATTGCTTTGATTTGCTATAGAATAAAACACTGTAATCATTTGTTATTTGAACTTTCAGCATAATTACGTTTTTAAAATAAAATTACATAACATTTTTTAATATGTAGGTTTCAATAATTCAAATCATTAATTTTATAAAAATGGTATGTACAATTATTATATAATTTTAAATTGTTAAAAGACGATATTTTGAAACAAAAGAAAAATATACATATCATATAATATAATGAATGAGATAGAGTACAAATTTATATAAAATATTTTTTTTAATTCATTTATTAAATGTATCTAGACCATCATCTTTTCTTAAAATATCATTGTTTTTTTCTTAATTTTATTATCTAAAAAAAATAACAACTGACTGTTAATTAACATATATTTTTAATATACATAGAGAAAGTGATATTAATTATTTAAATATTTTTAAAAAATTTATTTTAAACTCTTAAGTATTGTTTTTTTAAATTTACAAATTTATTATAATTTTAATATAATTCCAAAATAAAATTTTTCTTTGGAAAAATAGCAAGGACTACCGAATAATAATGAAAATTATGTGAAGACTGAAATTTATATTTTTGTTTTTATTTTATTTTTATGAACTTTTGAATTTTTTATGTCCACAATATAAAAAGATAAATTGTATTTGTTAAAACAAACATTTATAAGTAAATTTTTTTTGTTAAGACAAAGCATCCATCAAAACTTAATAATCTTATTATTTGCCTCTTCTTTTCTTATAAGTCAACCTTTGAGTTTATTTAGTTTTAATATTTTAAAAATATAATTTTATGAATTTTAATTCTTACTTTTTATTTTTAAAATTTTAATCACAAAAATCATAAATTAATTTATTGATGACAATGATTTACTGATAATAAATATAATAAAAAAAATTGAACAATAATAATCATAATATCAATTAACAGTGACAATAATTCATCAATAATTAAAGGATAATAATAAAAAAAATATTAATAATAAGTGTGTTAATAAATGGGTGAATTGGTAGTAACAAAAAATAATAATAAGGGTTTTATTAATATTAGCCCTTAGGACTAAGTTTAAATATCCACAAATAGAAAATTTTATTAAAAAAAGTACACATAACTCAAGGGCTTTATGAAATTCCACAATCAATTTTTCATGACTATCTCTAATAAGATCACTGCAACTAGCCATCTCAGTTGCTTGAAAGACACTCTCATCAACATTAAGCTTCAACTGAAGGCTCCTAAGAGGTTGTCATCTTGTAAGTGTTTTGAACCCCATCTAGCTCGGCCCAAACTTCTTATTAGACCTGCAACAGAAAATGAAGTAGTCAAAATCAGAATGAATTTTAGAAATAAGAGATTGACTGGTTAGAGGGGAGTTATGGAAAATCTCATTATTTCTATTACACCACAAGTTCCAAACTACTATACCAAACAATAAATTCTAGTGAGGATAGAAGGAAAAATTAGATGGGGCAAAATTAAAATTCAGCTAGTAGAACAATCCAAAACTATAAAATAAAACCCAATTATTAGGAACAAGGAGCTGGTTCTAAATCTCCTTGGCAAACCAGCAATCATAGAAAAAACATAAATAACAAATTTTTCAGTACAATTGCACTTGTAGCATAAGGTAGAGTTAGTCATATAAGGCTGAAATCTTTCAACATTAGTGAGAAGTCTATCATGAGCTATTTTTCAAAGAAACACATTTATTTTAGGGAAACCTGCCCAATTCCAAACCAAATTAAAAGTGTTATTAGGAAAATTTTGAGTCTAATCTTGACAAGAAATAAAACTAAATGCAGATTTTAAAGTAAAAATACCATTATTAGTTAGTTTCTAGAAAAATAAATCTTGACCTTTGTCAAATGCAGGAGGGTTAATTTGAGTGATTAAAGTACATATATGCTCAACGATTAAGATTCTAAGTCTAGTTCCAAAAATCATTTTGAGAAAACATTACCACAGGTTCCAATAAATCAGATTCTGGAATAGGGTGAAAAGCAAAATTTTAAAGATTCCTATTAGAAAGAATTCAATCATCTTCCCAAAATACGATAGTCAATCCATCATCGAAAATCTAGCCAAGACCTAAATAGAAAAGCTACCAAATAAAAATAATATTTCTCCATAAGTGAGAGTAATTTTGAGCGTTAGAAAGAGTAAAGTTTTTACCAATAGAAAATCTATACTTACTATAAATAACTTGGGCCCATAGGTCATCAGGGAAGGAGAAAAGCTGCCAACATAATTTCACGATATAAGTTTGGTTCATAAGATGAGTTTCTCTAAACCCCAAGCCCCCATCTTTTTTGGGTTTACATATTTCCTTCCAACTAACTAGATGACATTTCTTAACACCCAATGATCCTCAAATAAACTTTTCACAAATATGATCTATTTCCTTATACATAGATCTGGGGAGGAGCATGGATTGCATAAAATACCATTATTCCAAGTAATAGACATGAAAGGGGAGGAAATACATTGGAAAATTAAATCAGTCAAACTAGAACTGAAACTTATTTGCTAAATGGTATTTTTAACAAAGCTCCATCTAAGCTTATCATAAGCCTTCTCTAAATCTAACTTAATCAGCATGTAACCACTCTTATTTTTTAACTTATTGAAAGAATGAGTCAGCTCTTGCAGAATTAAGGTGTTATCTATGTCCTGTCTTTCTTGGACAAAACTGGTTTGATTGAGAGAAATTAAAGAGGGCATAGAGCCTCTAATTCT